GTTAAATAAAATTATTAAGTATAGATTTTAAGAATATATTCTAGTTTAATAAAAGCATTAACTAGTTTCATATATGTAGGTCCTATATATTCTAGTTTAATAAAAGCATTAACTAGTTTCATATAACATATGTAGGTCCTAAGCATTTTCACAGAGAGGCAGACTTCTAGTCTATTTTTCACCATACTTGAAAATTAAGAATTCCTTCTATTCTTAAGTTATTATAATTTTCAGTTAACAATAGTAAACTTTTAACATATTCCAACCTGATTTTATATTATATATGTTTTGAAGCTATAATATAAAATATTAGGTTAGGACCAGAGTGTGCGTGGCAATAGAAGAAGTAGAAGTATAAACATTTGCACTTGGTACTATGTATTACTCATTATGACTCATTATACAAAATAAAATAATAATAATAAAAAATAAAAAATTTAATTTATTATATATACAAAATACTTATATATATATATGTAATTTAATCATTTTAAATAAAAAGTATTTACAATTAAAAATAATTATTTTGAAAAATTTTATTATAAAAGAAAACTAGAAAAAATAATTAAATAGATATAATTTAAAAGGTCTCAATAACTTTTTACTGACATTATTTATATTTTTATCCATATTTTGTTTTATTTTTTAAAATTTATAAAAATAATTATTTAGCTATTGTTTTTATTAAAGAGGTTCAATAACTGTTTATTAATATTGTTTATATTACTATTAACTTTTAATTTTTGTTTATTTTTATATAAATAAGATTTTCAGTACTTTTCTATAAAAATAAAAATTTCATTTTTATGATAATGATTTCTTCATTATTTTTATTATTCACTTTTTTTTTTTGTTTTTTTTTTTTGATTTTTATAAAAATAATGATTTTATTACTTTTATTATATTTATCATTATATTACTTTTACTTTATAGAAGGAGTAAAAACAACATAATTTATTATTAAGATTTTCTTATCATTTTACTAATAGTAATTATAATAAAATGTATAATAATAAAATATAGTAAAATAAAATAATAAATTATAATAAATGTATATATTTTATAATAGTAATAAAAAAATACATTATTTATTTTTATGGTTTTCTTATCATTTTACGAATATTAATTACTTCGTTATTAAATTTATAATAACATAAAATTTTTATAATAGCCAAATCCATGAAAATCCATATTCTATTTAACTGCAAAGTTAGAAATTAAATAAAAATGTTTCAATTGATATATATTTTAATTTCAGAATTTTAATTTAAACATATTTAATATCTAAAATATGCATGATTTCATTAGATAAAATGTCCATATAGGAGTGAAAAATCAGTTTTTAAAGAAAAATTAAATATTTTTCTTTGTTATTATAAGAAATTTAAAAAACCGTAGCAAATGCTTTAAATTTTTTTTATAAAATAATATTAAAGAAATTTAAAATTACTTACTTTATTTTATATTGTATTGCCTAATTTTCTGCTTATGTTTGCAAAAAATATTTTTTATTTAAAAATAATTTTTTATATAATATAAATTTGCATTTATTTGAAGAGTATTTGAAATATTTTTTTTTATTTTTTTTTTTTTATTGAATATTAATTTTCTACTTATTTTTTTTTTTGTTAACAGAAATTTTTTTTATTTTCTTAATAGAATTTAACAATATAAACTCTTATAATAAATGTGAATTTTGTAAAATCTTTTCAAATTGAATTAAATATTTCAATAATTTTAGTTTTTCTTAATTTTTTTTTTAATATTTCTACATTATTAATTTCTGTATAAGGACTGTTATTTAATTCACTTAAAAACTTATTAAAATTTTGTTCAATTTTATTCAATTCAATTAATTATCAAATCATTTTTTTTTAATTATAAACCACAACTTTCAGTAATTATTTAAAATACAAAAATTTAAAAATCACAGTAAAAATTATTTATTTTCTATATTTAATTTTTTTCACTTTTAATATTTTTTTTATTAAAATTCAATTTTTTTTTTATTACAAGTAAATATTTACTGACGAATACGTAAATGTTTTCGAATCAAAAATTTTTTTAATATCATTCACCGCTTCTACCGTGTGTACGCCGCCAAGTCACAAATTCAACTGCTCGACGCTCGATACACAACAAAAAGCGTCCCTAAGCGCCTGCAAAATTTTTAAAGTGAAATAAAAACAAGGAGCCACCAACAACAAACAAATGCAAAACAAAATATCAAAATTTCGTTGAAATATTTTTGTGTTTTGCACAATTTTACATATTTTCACGCGTACTTCCGCCCACAGAGCCTCCGTTTCCCATATCAAATCCAGAAAATTAACTCGGGTGTGTGAGTTTGTCGTAGCCAAACAACGAATGCATTCCACAAAAACAGCGCAAATCTCATACGAAGCAGCGTTGGCACTTGTTATCAAAAGTGGAATGTAAGAAAATCAAAACAAAACAAAATATTACTCACACACACTTACTCCATAGACCGACCAACCTATATTAGAATTTGTGCCAATATTTAACAACACCGGCTAGCAGCAAATATTGGCCAAAATAAAAACACATATGTTGCTTCCTTCCTTCAAAGTGAAACTGTCAACAAATTTTTGCAAAATTCTCTTAAGTTTACTCTTAACAAGTGGAGCGCATGTGCCGCTCTAAAATCTCTCGTTGGTGTTGATATGTGAATAATTTACTTTTTTATTTGTGGATTCTCAGTGCACAAAAAACACGTGCTTATTCTGAAACTGTTGATGTTGCTAGGTTTTTGGGTGTTGCGGAGTAGCGGAGTAGCGGAGTAGCAATTTGAAGTGTGTGGAGAAAGTCCTTTTTATGAATGAAAACCCATTTCCCTTTGTTCGATTGGCTGCCAAACAACAAATGCTGCCTTTTATCTTGAGTGTTTTCATTTATTTTTTTTTGGATTTTCACTTTTTATCTGCTGATGCTTGTTCTTGTTCTTGTTTTTGTTTTTGCGTGCGGGCGTAGTAGTTACATTATGTGCGGCCATTATTTCACAATAAAAAGGTAATGGCTTCATTCATCAGCTTTTATTAGAAATCATCAATTTGACATTGAAGCTGAAATAGATAAATCCTTTGGAGCATTGGCTGGATGGTTTAATATTAAGGAAAGACGAGCCAAAGTTCTTAGGATGTTTACTGTATGTAAATACAAATTATTAACTAACTTTTAATAGTAGTTATTCTCCAGTGAAAAAAATTGAAAATGAGTTCTTTGCCTGAAAATTTTCCGTTTAAATTAATTATTAAAGCAAAATCACATTACTAATCATAAAGCTCGGAAGTAAATCGGAAGTATCTGGATTAGTATCTTTCCTATCGGTGCACTGAACTATAGGACGCAGGGAGCCAGACCCGACCTGCCCTGCCCTGCCCTGCCGTATCTGTTGCAGTACACGGCTACCGGCACTCGAAGAAAGGCTATGTTGTGGCTATGTCTAGGTTTGTCTAGAACTAGGCTTAAGATATTGGACGCCATATTCTTTAACACACCTGTCGATATTTCCAACATTGGTATTGGCGAGATACTTACTTTCATCAATGCATTCGGCTTGTTCTAATATGCGAATTCTTTCACCAACTATTACGAGGAATGTGGCATCACATCGATTGTCTCAGCCAATTAAGGAGTATTTGTTTCACCTATATAATCTTGAAATTTGAAATATAGTTAGCAACCACACTCAAAGTAACTATTGAGACTAAATTATATCCGTACCCCAATTTTGGGTCACAACTACAATTCCTTATTTAGATAAATTCACATTCCAATTGGATATAACGTATGTACAATATTTGACTATTTAATATATATAATATTATAGAATGTAGAGCAACGATTTTGATTCACCTTAGAAATGAAGAATTTATAAAAGTTAAATATACGTGTTTTTAGTTAAGTCAGAAAAGATATTGTTGACCTATTAAGTATTTTTTCTTCCTAAAACTCAATTGGACAAGGTTATTGAGAACTGAATTACAATAAACAAACGATTTTGCAATGATGCATTAGTATGAAGAACTAAACACCCTTTCGGTAGTCTTTATCATAAATGGCTCATCATTTGAGGACGTATCGACATCGAAGTAACGACAAACGACAGATAAAGGACCTTAATGCACTATTTCAATATCTATTCGTGTGATAAGTGAAGATTAATTCCTTAACTACAACTGATTCTATTCCTTTGCCTGAAGTATCTCAGATTCTACATTTAGATAATAGATGTCAGTTTCTAATTAATTAATACTCCGGGTCAAATAAGACTAAAGTAATCTGTGAGAGGAAACCTGTGAGAGGTAACCTGTGAGTGCTTACCTGTGAGAGGTAACCTGTGAGAGGTAACCTGTGAGAGGTAACCTGTGAGTGCTTACCTGTAAGAGGTAGCCTGTGAGAGGTAACCTGTGAGTGCTTACCTGTGAGTGGTAACTTGCAAGATGCTACTTCCGTCAAAATAAATCCGAAGTATTAAATAATTCGAAACACACATCCATCACCTATATTGCTCCAGAATATTAATTATTAAGTCTATCATCTAGATGCGGAATTTAATACGGACTAATACAGGCGGGAGTTACTAATCTTTTTAAATTATGAGTTCACTTTACACAATGCATACTTTCACATATTTCTCATGTATATATAAAATAAGCTCAATTGTATCTATTTTTATCTGTTCACAACATAAATTATTAAATACCAAAAATTTGAATAAAATGAACATAAAAATGAAGCTGTAAGAAAGGAGGTTAATTTATTTTTGTCTGCAACATGGAAGCTATATTAAAATTTCGTCTTCCTAAATCAAGTAAATAATGAAGGACTAAATCCTTTTCAAATGAATTATAAGTTAAATAAATGCAACGGATTTTAAATGGAAGTTTTTGTATAAGAAGACTTTAAGATTTAAAATAGAAAATTAATGAAAATTGTTGTAAAATATATTATTCTAAAACACAGTATATATTTTATTTATTATAATTTCTTTTACTGAAAATTTTTGTTCATTCGTTTCTCAAATAGTAGAAGAATATATCAACTGATACAACGGATATAAACATCAAAACAGTTGGATGATCAGTTTGGGAAAATGTTTCCAGATACACACATCAAAGATCTCGCCGATTAGATATTTTGTTTGTCTCTTACAACAAACGTGTAATTTGCACTAATATCGTCTTAGGTTTAAACCCTCTGAATCAAAATATATGCTAATAACAACCGTTATATGATCTGTAGAATTGACGCTCGATCAATGAGATCCTGGTACAAATTGCCTACATTTCGTGAAAAAAAGAAACTTTATATAATACTAGAATATACCGTAGAGCAGTCGCTTATGCATCTTAAGATTGAAAGCATATTATTACCAACAACAGAAGCATAAAAGCATATTTCCGATTGCAACCTTTAAACACCCTTACGAATGGCCACACTATAAAAGTAGCAGTGGAGCAACATTTCTTGATCCCGATAAGACCTTATTTGCGGTGATCCTTTACACTATATTTCATTTCATTTTCATTTCAGATGTTCAATGTTATAAAAAAATCGAACTTTGTTCGTTTCGCAATTAAACATAAATAAATACGAAGGAATACATCAATAAAGCAGACACTAAGGGTCAGCTAATACATTTGATTTGTATGTATGTAGTAATGTAAAGTTATCAATTTGGCCCAAATTTCCTTGACGGCAATAAAATTCCACTATAGCGATCCTGTAGTGTGTTTTCTCCTTTTTATTCATCAGAAATATATAGCAGAATGCATATTGAATCTTTACTCCCTTAAACTCTTATATGTCTCTTATCTCTTATCAAACTTACCGCTTAAAACCACTGACTCGTATAGAATGTTAAATCGAATAATGTTTCCATTAGATGCTGGTGTATATCATTTTCATTGTTGACATTTCTTAACATTGTTGTTTCTTTCTCACGGAAGAAGAGATTATGTATAATATCACCACTGATGATACCAAACGTTAGAGCTTTAGCTTGTATGTGCGTCTAAGGATTAAAAAATACGAAATATATTTAAAAAACTAAATAATTCAGCATTATTTGTATTTCTACCTTTTGAATATACGTTCGCAAAGTACTTAAATTACGAGCATTTTTCCAATTATAACCTCTGAGTGTCCAAAATATTGGCCACACAAGGCAACTAGCCAGTAGCAATGGGGCAGCATTTTCTATTCTCTGTTCCCAAATACCTTTTGGCGGTGGTAGTTTATGTTCATTCGTGATTCCAGCTACTTCCACTAAAAATATAATTCTTTTAATTATAATTAGTTTACTTATATGGTTTTTTAATTAAACCTGTTTTCTCTTCAGCACCTCCCCACATTTTTTTGGACGCAGCTTTCACAAATGAAGTAACCGATTCCATTGATGTGGGATTTCTCTATAAAACTAATAGATTTAAAGGAAAAATTTTGGAGCGTCGAAATGTTAATGAAATAGAATTTATATCAACGTGAAGGTTTTGAAACTTTGACACAAAGTTGAATGATGCGGAAAAGTAAGTGAAAGGTTTACATTATTACAACAATTACAAACAAACTGTTGAGAAACGAACTACATTCTAAAATTATTTCATATGAGTTTAGTAAAAAATAACTTTGGAATATAAAGTATATGAATAAATTTATGATTACTACGATTATAAACTTATTCTGCATATAATACGTATATAATTAGTTAAAATAGACAGTAATTTCGTCTATTGTGCCTCTGAGATAGACAGTTTTCATTGAAAGTAGTTGATAACAGTAAAAGTAGGTTTGTAAGATATAAAAACTGGATTATCTTTCCTATATAGTAGACAACACATTGTACATACTATCAATTCTTAGGAAACCATCGTTTACAGATCTTAAAAAATGAAAGAAGTAAGAACAGAAAATGGTTACCAAGCTGTCTGAATTGATACGTAGACGTCAGGATCAACTTTTTTTTAAAATCTACACATCAAGGATATATTAATGTTGCAGAAATAAAGGATTTTATGGATAATATGCAGAGGTAATATCATTTCTACCAAGCATCAAGCGTATTGCCTCTAATAACACAATAAGGCATGAGGCAAATTTTGTATGTATTTATTTTGTATTTGTGTTCTTATAGAAAGAATAGAAATAATATTTATGATGATATTCTTAATTATTTTAAATAATTACCTTCAATAACATGAGTGACGGCATATATCCACATATTCACACTGCCAATTTCTCACATGCTGATATAAGCTGGTTCCTGTTTTTTGATATACGAAATTGTTTAGAAGTCCAAACGATAATATTAATACCTGTATTCCTTTAGCTTGTATATGTGTCTAAAAACATTACACCAGCGTTATTTATATTAAGTGTCAATAAGATACTTACTTTTTGAATATATAAACATAAGTCAACTTTATCACGATAATAACTCCAAAGAAAACCTTTAAATAACCAAAAAACTGGCCACGAGACTATAGCAGTTCCAAAATATGGTGCGGCGAATTCCCACTTATCATCGATTTCATCATTCTTCTCGATTTCGTTCTCCAACCTAGGAACTTTAATTATTAAAAATATTAAAAAACAAATTTTAAAAATATATTTTAAAAGAGTTATAGAAGTAATTAAATTAAATTACTGATTAAGATTAATTTATATTATTTCATTAAAATGAACCCACCAGACGATAAACCAATAGTCATAGATAGTTCTATGAATCTCATTAAAATAACCAAGAATATATTTATACATAAACATTTTGGATGATAAAAAATTTTCGTAATTTTTTATCACAAGATGGTATTAGTACCCATAAACCTGGCAAAAACAAATCCGATTATATTAAATAAGTTCTTTGCTATGAATGAACGCCAAACCTAAAAATAGCTTAGTCTATTCCGTACTAGAAATTTGGATGTCCAACATAAAAATCGGTCTTATTGGACACTAAAAAATCAATGAAATTTTGCGACTAGTGAAATAAGGTCATTGCAGACCACAAGCAGAGCGGAAATAACGGAATCCCTAAACATAAGCCACATGACAATTTGGAATCATTTAAGATTAATGTAACATAATCAAAGATGCTCTATGTTTGGGTACACTTCGAATCAATGGAAATAAATTTGATTGACAATATTACCGTCATAATAATTAAGAGTTATAAAAATGTATCACATGTGATCATTTTCAACAAAAACGATCGTGATCTCAAAATCTGGATTGATAACAAAAAAGGATGTATTACATTTTTGGCGGAATTGAAAGGGAGCGGTAAATTCAATCGAATCATCGTTGATGACTCGGTTGATAAATTGACTCATTTTGGTTTGTAAGTTCACATATATTAATAGACCGGCTCTCATCTGACTGTGATTTGTTTCGGTCTCTGCAAAGCTCATTCAAGAGAAAAAATCCATGACTGACAGTCAAAACTGCAAGTCTGCGCCTTTGAATGACACTCAACCAACATGTTGGCGTACTCACGAAAATTGGTTGGTGAGCACAACAATCAGCTTCTCGCCAACATGTTGTAAATAATAGTCCGTCACCCAAAAGCTTGCGTTCCTTCAATAGTATATTTTTGTGTGATTACACAAACACACTTATAACGTGCGCAAACACACTTATTCTTCAAAAATTTTGCTTGAATTACACATCTTTACTGTGAGCGCGTTCAAGTTCGATGACTAGAATAAATTTGAGCGAGAGATAGCGCAAAATTGGCCGACCGAATAGCCGCTAAACTCACTTGACCAAATTGTTCGCGAATAAATCACAGAAGTTCTACACTGATATATTTATGAAACTACCCGAAAAATGACATATATTGGTTATAAATAATATAGCCAATATATAATTAACAAAAATTGATATTCAATATATATTTAAGCAATTATATTCTTTATATATACGATCATCAATCCCTTTTCACTTCTTTTCGAGAATTTTATATATATATACATAATCTGTTCTGTCAAATGTTTTCTGTTCTGTTTTGAAAAATTACTTGATTCTTGTTCAATCTTATACTTCCATAAATTAATTGCATTATTCCATATTTTAGACCAAATAGATTCTGTCATTCTTATTCTTATTCTTATGGCACAGATTTTTGGTTATAATTTGGAAAACTACAGAACATTTAATATTAACATTGCACAATAAATTTATATAGGTAAAAATGATATATATATATATATATATATATACAACAACAAAAAAACTTTGTTAATTTATTTTATTTTTATAACATATTTGAATAAACTAACGGATTACTACTTTATTTTAAACAAGATTTTGTTTAATATAAAATTTTAGGAAAAAAACAAATACAATAGTTGTACAATAGCTCTAGCAAAATTAGAGCCTTCAAATAAGGGGAAACTTAAAAACCTGGTCACCATACATGACTCAAAACGTGGATTGATAACCAAAAAGGATATGTTAAATTTTTGGCGGAATTGAAAAGGGAGTGGTAAATTCAATCTTCTACTGCTCACAACTCAACTGCTTGAATAGAGCCTTCAAATAAGCGGAAACTTAAAAAGACTCCTCATGTAATAATATTTTCTTTATATAAATAATTTAAAAAACTATTATTAAATGTTTTCCAATTTATTTTTTTTATTAGGCGCATTGCTAAGTTTATCTTAGCAAACTTCCGTCGTCTTAGGGAGAAGAGGCAATACAAAGCGGAATGTTACATACCGAGAGGTAAAGGCGTCCTTAGTAGCAGTAGTAGAGAATGCCTCCAATTTTACATGTACGTTTAACTGTCAGAAAGATTTGTTCACGTTGGATTTAATCACTTTGGATTTAAGCAGGTGTTGATCGGTTCAAGAAGATGCTGAAAAAATACTACTGAGGTAACTCAAAACACGGCTACGACATTGTGACAAGTGACAAGTCATAAATTTGTGCATGTGAACCCTAATGATAACAGCAATCCACTGTTTGGGTCTTCCAAAGTGAAAAGAACCTGATAAAAGTTTTCCGCGGATGGAGCAAATTCAAGCAAGATGCCTGTTTTTTTAGAAAAACTGATTATGTCAGAACTGTACCACTTGAACAACGAAGAACGGTCAATTGTGAATGGTATATAACCATTTGTTTGCCCGAGGTCTCCGTAGAATGAAGGAAACCAACCGTCGAAAGAAGATCATCATTGAATTTTACGTTTTTGAATTTTAAAACGTCGAATTGATGTGTTATCCGACTTCTTCTTAAAGTCGGTTTTGTTTTTTCAGAATTTTAACTTTTATTTCGAAATTTATTTTTAATACATTTCTATACGTATTTTGGGAAATTCGCTTTTGTCTTCATCAGGAAAATTCCTAATATTCTTCTTGTTTCAAAATATTAAGAAAAAATGTGTGGCTAGCTTTACGCCCAAACAGGTGGTTAAGACATTCAAAACCCTGGTTTTGCAGATACCAACTTCAGAGTTGCAAAACTGAGAATATTTCGAAGAACAATAAAAGCATTTTCACTGGCTAACCACTGCATTTTCATTGTTAGGCGCAAGACTTAAAAGGCAGTCCTCGTATTCACATTATATATATTACAGAAATATACAAATAAAAAATTCACTAACGGGTCTATTACTTAATATAATATTGCGAATCTTTAGATTTAAATTAAGTTTGCTATTTATTATATATATACATATAATATTTGTTCTATCAAATACTTTAAAAACTTACGCGTACTCAAGTTTTATTTAATCAAGAAACGGGTATATGACATGTGTGGCGATTGACCCAAATCACATCGAAATTGACGTAATTCTGCAAATAAGGACATCAACAACATCAACAAGGAAAAAGGAAATACTAATAAAAAACAAACTTATTTGAAGTGTCAATCAGCAAATTCGACATCTTTTGTTGCAGTGCACAATTGCGATTTGTGCACTTTTGAATGCACATAAATACGATTTTGTGTTCAAATTTGTGTTCCTTCAGAAGCAAAATTAACTTTTATCTTTTGTGAAAATTGGCATGAAATGACATGAAGAAAAATTTCCTTCAAGTCAACGATTTGAGGCGCTTTAAAAAGCAATTTTTTAGAATTCACAGATGACAGCCCCAAGTAAAAGATATACAATCGATGTTTCGAATAGGAGAATGGAAGCGGTAGCCTTTGATAGCATGCGAGTATGCAAATTAGTTTTCTTCTATGAAAATTCAAAATTATTTGCATAAGATGTCCCTCTGGCTTTAAATTTATGAAGTAATTTTTCTTAATCGAATTATTTGTATGCAAACAAATTTCCATTGACTTCCTACATGGTAGACTTATTTAATTTACATATTCTTAATTTATATTTTAATAGGCAGAGAAATTTATTCTGAAATATTTATTATGTGCAAAAGGACTAAAGTGTCATCTTGTGATATCTGATGTTAAGTATGAGTGATAGATAGTTATAACTAAGAAGTGTTGAAATGTAACTAAAAGAAATTGCAAAAAAAAAACAATTTAAAATTCACTAAAAAAAATGCATTAAAATAATGAACCCATGATCACATGAAGCTGTAGAGAGAAAATCACTTTTTCAGATATTTTGCCAAAAATTCTTTGATCGTATTAACTAATTATAACTTTTTTGAAACATTTCTGAGATAAAAATAACCCTAAATAATATCTGCCAAACACCGAACACTCCGTAAGTGAGATGTTTTAAGACAAACTGTATTAGAACTGAGTTTAAATTTTGGGTTTGCAGATATCTGATTACAATTACATACTCCTACTCGATTAGAAGCCGAATACGCTGAATAAAAGCCTCCGAAAATACATAAAAATTTGAGATGAACATAATAGATAGAAGAAAGAAGAGGAATATTGATTTTAGATGACCCAATTTACGGGCCGCGTCCTGGTGGAAAACAGAGCAATGCGAACGAGGGACACACAGGTTGCTCATGGATGGATATCGTAACATATATTTATAACAGTCATATAGGACTACGAAACTACATACATGTTTGCATTAATTACTACCTAATACCCCGTCAACTTATTTAATCCGATATAACTAAAATAATCTGTATGCAATAAATAGTAATAAATTTAGTTTTGTTGTTATACTAGGACAAGCCGATTATCTAATGCAAGATGCACTATGGGTGTGTGATTTCATTAGACTAATGTTACTTTTTGTTCTGTAGAATCTTTCAGTTGCAAGTTTAAAGCAAATTGTACCACCTCATTTTATTTTTGTGGACTATATAATTAATGAATCTTTCTGTATTTTAAGAAACGGTGAGTAAGAAGTTTCTTGGAATTTTAAAATCAACTGAAACCGGAGCCGTATTGAATAATGTTCTTTCTATAATTCACCAATATTCACGCGGATATACATAATTGAATGAAAAAAATAAAATATGATCGTATATATAATATACCGTATCCACGGTATTATTTAGACTATAATTATGAGAGAAATGATATGAATAGTATATGCAACTGATCATTTTCAAGCATTTTAGAATATTATATAGATAATCGAAGAAGACTATAAGAAGTCTATATTGATATCTAACTATCTGTCTATTTATCTGTATTTTGGTAAATAAATGTTTTAGTTCTAAATCAATGTTGCATAGTGACTTATTCAGAATGTAGGTAGATCGAGTAAAAATACTGAACTATTTAAAGTAACAATTACAGAAAATAGTTGCCAAATTAAATATTAATTTTTGAATATGTACACAATTAGATATTAACTGAGAGATATTTTTACATTGTATTACAAAATAAATTCTGTGAGTGATTTAGAGTATTGTGTACACACAAAATTGCGTATTGTATCTGATAATGTCTGTACTGTAATCATCAACTTTTAATTAGAGATTTAACTAACTTTTCATCCAACCCGAAATAGTAAACATTTTCCAACAAAACAAATTTAAAGTCCATTCCCATACAAATTTTCAATCAAAAATTTATTTAACATCCTACTCCACATCCAATCCGAAGCCCACCAACTCCAGTAGGTGGGCTTCAGAGTGTTTGCGAAGTCCTGTTAGTATGCTTTTGTGCGTGCTCATACGATTTTGCATATTTTCTTTCAGTGCTTGACATATTTTGACATTTTCCAACTTGTTTATTTCTCCTTGAAGTCCTTTTAAGTCCTTAGGAATCGTTTTTTTTTTTGTTTTTTTTTTTGTGAATATGCATTGAAAGCATGTGTGTGCAAAAACAAAACGATAAACTGTGCTATTGACAACTCCTGTTTTCATGAAGTCCCTTTTTTATTCGTATTCCTTTATGTTCTTTTTTATTTTTGTTTATTTTGCTGTTTATTTTAAAGTCAACACAAAACAAACGACATGAGTTTCCATTCTGTACTTCCGGCGTCCGTAGGAAATATAGGGATATTATACTTAGAAATATTTTAACAAGCTTAGCTGCGTTTCACTTCCTTTGGAATCCTCGATTTTTTCCTCTTTTTTTATTTTTGATTGTGGTTAATGGACTTATCTTCCAACAAATGATAAAAGGCGAAGATTCGCAGAAAGAAGAAGGATTGCAAATGATTTGTTGAAATCCAAATGGAATGTGCCATCCACTTATGTCAAATTTTATTTACTTTTATCTAATTTAATGTTATATTCCTAAATTGTGCTTTAAACTAATTTATAAATTTGTTAAATCATTATTTTTTTATTTAAGTGAATTTTATTCAAATTCATTATTTTAAATACTATTTTTAACAAATTTTATTTAAATATCCATCTAAAACATCAATTAATGAAGAAAGTAGTCAATGGAACAAGAATTCTATTATTATATTAGCCTAAAGGTAGTATCTAATTCTAGAATCTTCATTGTTAGACTACCTTTTCGATTACAAACTGAACCATAAAGTGCATTTCATGGTTTGATAAAGTTTTTTTGATTAGTGGGAAGCGGCCATTTAATTATATGGGTTCATAATGGACCTTCTCACTATCTCAGTCGCATAACTTATTTCGTACAACCTAATTCAACAAAAATATCAATACAGTGTAATATGTAAAGAACATTTAAAAAGATTTATCAAATACTAAATATACATTTTTTATGCAATAAAGAAGTCACTGTATTTAGCGAAAATGTCTATATAGATCTACCCATGTCACCTTCAGAATGATTTTTTTTTGGCAGTAGGTAAGTGGAA